TCCACCTCTGCATTATAGAAATGCACTTACAGTTTGTAAAGTCAATAATATTTCCTTACTGAATACAACGGGTCTCGCATGCCTTTCTTCACAGGAGAGACAACTGACCTTTGGATTCGTTGGTCTTCTTCCACCTACGACGTAGAAAATTATATAGTAATTAGGTAAATATACTATGCGGGTTGGTAGATAAAATAGAACGGTTGTCAGGGCAAGGGAATGGGGGGGGGATGAAAGGGGGTCAAAATCTGATCAGCCTTAGGCGGAAGTGGTAGTCGGTTGAGGTGCTAAGCTGCTGGCTGTTGGATAGTTTAATTACTTAATTACTATATAAATGTAAAGACCTGATGAGAATCATCGAAAACAAACGTATGTTCGCCATTTCATCTTCTAAAATTTTCAATGGGAATTTTCGCAAAAATGATATAGATTTAAAAAGGGCTTGCGCATTTGTGTACGACTAATAAAAGCGTCAACATCGGAATCAGTTTGTGTAGTGAGACTGTTTACAGACCTACTTCCCTGTCAAACAATGCTCTTTAGTTTTTAAGTACATTTACTTTCAGGGGCAACTGTCTCGAACACTTACCAAGACGCCTATATAAAGCAGTCAGGAAATAGCCTTGTCAGACAATGCTGTACACGTCATCATAATGAGCAACGACATAAATTTGCCATCATTATCTCGGGAAAGGAAATAAATAATTAACGTTTATGTACTCACAGGAATAGGACAGCAAAACGGGCACTGTGCACTGTATGCGTAATGATGGAACTTGCGCGTAATTCTTATTTGTTTTACGATAGGATATCCATTTCCATTGAGCAGCATTGAGGAATACTTCATTCGCTACAGTGTACCCACTTTTCGTTAACCATCTTTTTGGACGCCTGCCAGAATGACACCTTGATCACTTATTTGCTCTTAAGCTAATTCTCTTATTTATTTTCTCTGTTCGTATGTGAGTATACTCATTTACCTCAGAAGAATAAATGAGAGTATTGATCAAATTTTGCTGGAAAAGTAATTAACAGTCTTCTAGATTCGAAGAATCTGCTATTATAACACCGGAATGGTTCGTTTAAATATTTATGCAGTTCACTATCCATAGACTTACTAATGTAATGATCCATTTTTATTGCAAGATAGTATTCGTACCGCAGGGGTTTCCACACACGGACAAAGTACGTTTAGTTTCAAAGAAGTCATAGTTCGTGCTGATATAAAACCAGAAACAAATGTCTAAATGGGACATTAATTGATTGTTTTCAAAATTGAGGTATTAATTTAATCAAATAAAACATAGGAATGAGTTCAAATATGTAGAAAAATCAAAAAAGTTAAGTCATATTACACCAGTAGGGCATTTTGCCACATGTGTTTTACGCAGTTGGCCAGAACCCTACCCAACAAAAAAATAGTATTCTGCTGTGTTTTTGATGTTCTTCAGTACCGCAGCCCTATTAAAGTAAACCTTGTTAAAGTACATTTATACGTCGTCTTCAACGTGTTCTTAACTGTACCACCCGCCGGGATAGTCTAACATGACAGCTTCCCCCAAAAGACCCTTTATTAACGTATTTTACTCCATAAACCCGAAAACCGCTCCTCCAACCGTTATTCTCACTTTAAGTTTCCGAAAGCCTCCGAAACCTAATTGCAATTACCAGCAGGGCGCAGGTTTGCCAATTTAATGAAAAAAGGCATCTTTAACTTGTGAGTGTGCTAGCCTCGGTTTTCACTTTACTGTTTTTTGGAAATGCGCATTTTACATTTGTTTTTTTCTTTAAATGTTCCTAAATTTGCTGGCGGGTTGCAGAATACACTTTGAAAACGAGGCAAATACAGCCTTGTTACCAGCGATACGGTCTCCCGCTCTGCACATCGTATATGATCACTTGTCGTCATTTATTAGTCGCAATGCGTAAACCATGTTGTTATAGTAGTATGTTAAGGATTTTTGGTAGTTTTAGCGGTCTTTTACCGCAAGGTAAGCCACATGTTTTATAAAGAAGGACTCGAAGTCACCGAAACAAACTTTTAGTTTCGCTTTCTCACTCGAACCCGTCCGTAAAGACACCAGAAGATGGGGCAATGGATGAATATGGCTTGCAGTGGTTATACGCGGCAGTTGTTATGCCACCACGTACCTATGAGAGTTAGTAGCTTCCGCAATTTTTCTAGGCTGTTACAATTGGTTCGATAAGTGCTTGAGCGTCCGCGTACAAGTAGTCAATTTCCGCAATTTAGCATGCATGCTTGTTATCGACATGACATGACAAGTGTTCAGCAGTTTGATTGGCTGACACTTGCAACGAAAATATTTTTTCTGCGAAAATTCCCATTTTTACGATTAAAAGTCGTATTGGCAAACAATTGTTTTCGGTCATTCATCATCAGGCCGGTACATTACATGGGAAATAAAATTGTTCAGTTAATTACAGCGTTTATATAATCGTAAGGTTGGGAGAGGGGGAGGGGGGAAAAGGATGAGGGTAATATGGCAGCTGGGTTTTCCCTCGTCTCCTGAATGCGGGCGCCTGCGCGGGTAGGACACTGGTTGTGATGCGCAGAGAAGACAGGGGGATGTTCTCGTGGTCAGCGGGTTGAGTTCTGTATGCCAGCCGCGCAGCTTGCGCTTGACTATTCTCTGTGGCTTCGTTTTGTGCGTTTTCGGATGACGTGGCTTCAAGAGGTGTGGAATTTCCGCATGCAGTCGGCCAAAGGAGGCAGATTGCTTGTACCAGAGCCTTTTAGCAGCATAGAGTGGGTTTTGTTAGCCGGATTGTCACTGTCTCTGCAGTGGCTAACATCCGTTTGCGCAGGCCTTTGAAGTAGTGTGTTGGCGTGTGGTATATGACCTGAAAGGCTTCTCTCGCGTCCACTTGGTGGTTTGTGTCAATTAGGTGGGCGAGAGTTGAGCTTGAGATTGGTCTGTGCTCCCCTCTACTGAGCCAGGCTGGTAGATGCTCGCCTATTCTCTTCTCGAGACGTCGCGTTGTTCGGCCAATATAGCCCGCTCCACAGGAATAGGTGAACG